GTAAATGATAGTGTTGAGAATAAAAAAATTACAACAGAGCTATTTCTTATTGATAATGTAATTTTAATATGGCTGGTCTATTTTCCTGCTAATATAATCTAAATTTTTGGTCACATCGTCATATGTTCTTGATAACATAATAAGTTTCAACAGCTTTACTTTGAAAAACTAATGACCAATGCCAAAGTATCCCTGAAAATAAAGGTCAAAAATAAATAACATCAGCCAGACAAAGACATTATTTTAATTATGATAAATTAAAATAATTTTTGGCCCAACCCTGCAGTTTGTGAAATAAATCTGCTATTCAGTTTTGTTGATACGTACATGTTACACTTATTCGTAGGTTTGTACTTTCCTTTCAGCATTTCAGAATATGTATAAGCATACCAAAAAATCTCTTGAAATGACAATAGTACTTTAAAAGTAATGCCTCATCCATAAACACTTTTCCGGCGTGGTTATGAAGATGAATGAATATTTTGACTTAGATTGTTTATTTGTTGTTTAAGTCAAGTGTTGCGAAGTGTTCGATTCAGTTTTGTCAAGCATTTTTTCATTTTGTCTTATGCTAAATATGTTAAGTAAACTCTGAGATATTTCTGGTGTTATGGCGTTTTTAAATAATAGGTAGATGTATACTAACATGTTTTGAAATAGTCTATTCTTTAGAAATTTGTAGATCTTTTAATCTGAGATTTTCAAGGAGAAGCATATTATACTTTACAAAAGCTGTAGTTTGAAAAAAATTGTTAACAAGTTTTTTAACAAGATCATGTTGCTCGCTTATTTTTGATTTTAATATTTCAGAATAATTATTTTATATAGATATATATATTCATATTCATATTTATGTAAAATATGATCTTCTGTTTTTCTCTTTGCAAACGCGTATATATATGAATTGATGTTTGATAAAGTACTTATAAATATGATACACGTGAATTATGTAACAATAACTTATTTTACAATAACTAAGTTCTTTAATTCTTCATTTAATGTAAACGCTTTTGTCCAAGGTGGACTCTTCAGACATTAAAAAAATAGTTCTAAATATGACTTCACGGATGGAGTTGTATATCGAAAATAGACAAAAATGTATGCCATTTTATATTGCTATAATGTTGTAGGATTTTAATAAGGCCAACTATTTTCCTATTTTTGTATTGGACCTGGTATGGCCAGGTGGTTAATGCGCTCAACACGCAATCTGCGCGTCGGGAGTTAGAATCCTCATCCCACCAAACATGTTCGCCCTTTCATCGGTGGGGGCGTTATAATGTGACGCTCAATCCCACTATTCGTTGGTACAAGAGTTGACGTGATGACTAGCTGTCTTCCCTCTAGTTTTTCACTGCTAAATTAGGGACGGCTATTCGAGATAGCCCTCGTGTAGCTTTGCGCGAACTCCAAAACAAGCAAACAAACCATTACAACAAGTGTCCAAATGTTCACTTAGTGGAATACCGCGTGTTGATGGATCCAGAATTTGTTGTCAACGAATTCGTATTCCCTCACACAGTTTCCGGCTTGACCGGTGTAATTTTTGCGGCAGATAGAACATTATATACAATATACAATAGTTTCAGATTTATAGTTTATCTTGGCATTAACTTTGAAGGTCTTTCCTGAATTAAAGGTAATTTATTTCCCTATTTGTAGGTACTTCCGTGTGCCGCATCATTTCTTACTGTAAACGTCCACCGTTACACCCTCCTTCTTTTCCCCTAGTAAACTTGAACATCCTTGAGATCGTACAATTTTCGCATATTTACAATTCGAATGTTATTATTCCCAAAACATATAGTTTTAATTGGATAATACTCAACTTTTGCACGAGTTTACCGGTCTCTGGGTGTTGAAATGAATTGTTGTGATTTTTTAGCGCAAAGCAATATAAGGGACTGATTATCTGAGCGTTATCTCCACCGGGAGGAAAAGAACCTTGGATGTCTTGGATTTTAGCGTTGTAAGTCCGTAAACTAACCATTCACCAGGGGGGATGAAATAGAACATAGAAATATTGAATTTTTGTTCTGAAACTATGAAAACTTGAGTTTTAAATGAAAACGGCTGTATTTAAAGTTAAGTGATAATATATTTTACGCAACAGATTACAAGATTAAAAATTAAAACACTTTCTCAGCTAAATGAATGATAGCAAGTAAAATTTTTGAGCTGTTGAACTAATTTTAAAACCTATTTATGTCGCAATTTATTCAAATATTATTATTTTTTGCCTTTTACATGATGTGTTTTATCAGTATTAAGATAGTTACTTTTCGAAATTATCTTTAAAATCTAGCATCTGCTTGTAGTTGAAATACAAACATTTAACCTTATGGCTTCTTATTCTTCGTTTAGGTATCTGAAAAGCTTTCTCATGTTGAACCCAAACCTTCAGCGAAAAGTCGCCTCCGGAAACAACGCAGCACATTTGATTTGAAGAACGACCTAGCCCTAATATCTGAAGTACCATACGAGAAGGAAGCGAATAAAGACGAAGAAAACCTATTTAAGAAATTAGGAGATTCTCTAGCTTTCTGTGATTGTATAGAACTGAATCAAAATAACGCAGCTAAAGCAATCACAGTCATTGTTCTGGTACTTACTTTAGTACTGGTTATAACTGTAGTAATACAGTTTTTAAAATGATGTTGTAAACAGTCGGCCACAAGGTGGTTTAAACCGTAAAAAAAAGAAACGTATTTGTCAAATCGAAACAGAGTTTTGATAAGAATAAAGAAAAAAAAAACATCTGCTAGATACTCCTGACCGAAAAGTAAATTTGTTGTCAGTATATCACAATATGTCATTGTGTGCTGCATTTGCTAAATCATTTTATTGAAGCCTGTATGTTTAGATTTATTTTTATTGCTCAAGATATTAGTCTCATAACACCTTTCTACTCTTTTTTTAAAAAAAAACAATCTTCAGTTATTCTTTGAGAGATATTTTTAAACTAGCTCTCATTGTCATATTTTCATAATACATTCTCGGAAATCAATCACTATTTAATTACGTTTTTGCTCCTAATTATAATATCCCATATTTAATTTCCTGTTACTAGATCTAAGATCTTGGCTGTGATTATATTATTCTAAAAGTGACACAAGTTACTTTGAATGAGCACTATATAATATTCATTGAAACGTGACACTAATCATAAAATTCATGTGAGTACCGAAAGTGAACGTTCAGTAACCGTGATATGTGTGTTATGCCGAGACTGATAACCTTTCAGGTGCATGATATAATAATTATATGCTTTTGAGTGTTTTTGTGTACATTATACTAAAAACAGATTATAACTGAGTATTCACATGAATAAAATTCACCTGCTCTTAGATCATGGTTCTATGATTGTATTTCACTGCATCCTGGCCATCTTTCTATTACATTGAAGAATATAATTCCCTGCAACATGAAAAAGTGAGTAAAAACAAAACATAGATAAAGTCATTAAACATTTATTTTCTCACTAGAAAATAAATCTTCCAGATCAGTGGACTATATTTGCAGGTTATATTAACGTGCAACCAATACAAATCAACATATATAAAATAATGCGAATGAATTTGCTTTAACTTTTACATATATACACCGAAATAAAAGAAAACTTGATATCCAAGTATAACAAAATATCAAACTCAGAACTTAGTGTAATTAGTTTGTGAATGCAATATCTTATTTCAATGGACAAAAATCTAAATATATCGGAGCAGATGTTAGTATTTCTTCTATTTTGTAAGTTGTTCACGGGTTCCTTAATGCAAGTTTCAAAAAAATATAGTGGTGTTTTTTTACTCATTGTTGCATGTTTTGTCTGATCAGTATGGTCACGTATATTGTGTTTGATGAACCTTGTATTATAGCCTTTGAAATTTTCCAAGAATATTCTGGTTACTACTAGAATATAAAAAGTTAGTTTCTAAATAGGTAGTTATATTAGATAACAGATAGTCCACTGATTATAGACAAGTAAGCCGAGATTAACCTAGTAATTCGAGTATACCTAAGGTACAGTTTCGTTAGGATAGTGATTGCGGTGGATAAGGTAAATCACTTGTTTTTAAAATCTGGAAAAATTAGAACATCAGCAAATTCTTAATTATAAGAATTACTGAGTGATTGAATATATTTTTAAACAACTTTCTTATAAATAATTAAATTTTATTTCTTAATATATCTGGGCGGGGAACTAACTAACATGGCAGATAACAAAATACCATGGCCAACAATTTTGAAAAGTTTTTCAAAACCTGGACAAAAATTCTGACGGGAAAAAAAAGGGCATAAAAATTTTAAAACAAGTTTGTTTGTTTGTTTTTGAATTTCGCGCAAAGCTACACGCAAAGCTAGCCGTCCTTAATTTAGCAGTGTGAGACTAAAGGGAAGACAGCTAGCCATCACCACCCACCGCCAACTCTTGGGCTACTCTTTTACCAACGAATAGTGGGATTGACCGTCACTTTATAACGCCCCCACGGGTGAAAGGGCGAGCATGTTTGGTGTGACGGGGATTCGAACCCGCGACCCACAGACTGCGAAACGAGCACCCCAATAACCTGCCCCCAGTGGCACAGCGGTATGTTTGCGGACTTACAACGCTAGAAGCCGGGTTTCGATACCCGTGGTGGGCAGAGCACAGATAGCCCTTGTGCAGCTTTGCACATAATTAAAAAAAAACTAACCACTTGGCCATGCCGGGCCTTTTAAAACAAACCAAGCACGTGACAGTAAATAATAAAACAACTAAACTGATCATAAATAAAAATGAAAAACTGCAAGATCAACCAATCAGTCTGTATCAAGATATGGATTACAGGGGCGCCAATTGAAGAAAAGGTCAGTAGGGGCAATCATTTCCCTCCGTCAAGAATGTTAGAAAAAACCTAGATATGTATATATATATATATGTTAAAGATTTATTTTCTTTATCACCAGATGTAAAATTCAAAAGAGAATCTGTGACGTACAGGCCTAATGTATTTCTTGGTTGGTCGTACCCTCTGCTGCGGACTGAAGTTTCGCCTATTCAAGACTCATCAGCACAGCTTGGGTCAGAAAACCAAAAAAATACTATTGCTTTTATAATGGTGAAGTGTGTATAATATCTATGTGGTTTTGAGTGCGTTTTACTTCCCACATTTAGTAACCTAAATTTATTTAGAAATCTGAATGACGTTATGATATTTCGTCGAATTCAACGAACAGTTTAACAGTTGGTCTGCTGTATAATATCGAATAATGAATTTGACTAAATGTCATAACATTATTCACATACCTAAATAAATTTAGATTACTAAATGTGGTGAATTAAAACGGACTCAAAACCACATAGATATCATCTTTACTGTTTTTCTATGTGTATAGTAAAACTGTAATACAGTCCAATACCAAAGTAGGTCAAAATGGTGTATTTAAGTGTTTTACACTCACCAAAAAGAAACCTATTATTCTACAGATATTTGAAGACCTTGTAGCAATCCGCCACAATTTAATTCTTCGTATTGTTATCCGACACTGGGCAGCTTGTACATAATTGAATAAGTAGAGTTGTTTAAACATTTGTTTAAAAGCAAGTTAATGCTTGGAATGGTCTATTCTTTCACTGGGGTGTATGTCTGTGAGCCAGACTAGTTTCGGAGAATTCCACTCATCATCTTGTCAAACAAATGTTTAAACAACTCTACTTATTCAATTA